GATAGGCTTTCAGGATGATCTTCTGCATTGTCCTCTTCAGAAAGGACAGGCTAGGGAGGATGCCTGATGGATGGGTTTGGAGTCTGGAGGAGAGTGGAATAGGTACAGAATAAATGAGTGAGGACGGTGGTGTAGGAGGTCAGACATTCATTCATTCAGTTATTCAACCCAGCGCTTACTTAGCACAGGGAAGGCATTCAGAAGGTATGTCGAATGAATGACCCACTAGAAGGGTTGTGTTAGGTTCTGGGATACACAAAGATCCCGTTGTTCCCCTTCAAGGCTCTCCAGCAGAGGGGAAGTGGGTGAACAAAGGGCCGCAGCTGTTGGCTGGGCCTTGCAGGGTAAATGGGAAGGAACACCTTGGGAGGTTGGAGGAGGCAGTGATAGTTGTCGAAAGTGCCTCCTAGAGAAAGTAACTTTTGAACCAGTCTTTGAAGACTGAGTAACAGCTCAGCAGAAAAGACGAAGAAGGGCCTTACAGGCCAGGTGCTGCCATGTGAGCACTGAGGGGAAGTGAACTGGCGTACATTTGAAAAGGAACCAGTTTTGTGACTTCCTCCAGCTATGCTTTGCACTCCTGGAGCAGAAGAGAGAAAGGTAAGGGATTGGTAAGACAGAAACATCCTAACAACAAGTCGGTGTCCAGGAGAAGAATCACTGAAATGCCTGCCAGGAGGCTCTGAATGGACTCTTGAGGACAGAGAACAGCAGACGTAGGAGTTGCAGTGGCTCTTCACAGGTTCACGTGGAGGGAGGGAGGTTTCTGTGACAAACCTCGGTGTGGAGCAGTCCAGGTCCTGCCTGTTTCCTCACTGAATTAGGAAGGAGGTCAGTCTCCTGCTTAGGGTAGGTCTGGTGTGTCTGACTCCTTTAGGCTGAGTCAAGCGTCCTTCCTGTGTGATTGCATTGCTTTTTCACACTCGATGGTGATGTCTTTTTAATTGGAGCATGGCTGACGCAGTGTTCCATGAGTTTCAGGGGATTCCACACGTCTGTACTTATGCTGTGCTCACAAGTGTAGCTACCATCTGTCACCACACAGTGCCCACTGGTTTTTGGTTGTCTTCCCCACTAATCTGCAAGCTTTTTGAGGGCAGAGACTACTGTCTTCGCCTTTATCTCACATATTACCTTGCGTGTAATATGTGCTGAGTAAATGTTTGTTGAATGAATGAATGGTAGTGGGAGAAGGGTGAGGGTAATGGTGCAAGTTTTATGAATAAAAGTCTTGAAACTCCTGCAAATGAGATCAAGGGGGAGGAGTGGTGGAGACCATCACATGAAGTTCTAGTGTTCTTGAAATTTGCAGAAAAAAAGAACGGGAAGTGGCAAGAAGGAGCAGTGTTCTTTCTGGACCATTTTTATTGCCTCCTGAGATGATGGAGGCTGAGAAAAGGTGTAAGCCCTGCTGCAGGAGACCGTGTCTGGGGAAAAGCATTTGAATTGGCACTTAAAGGAATGAGTAGCAATTTGAATTGTATGTGGGCAGAAGGCCAGGGCGGCTAGGCAAATGCTAACAGTATGCGTAAATGAACAGGGGGTTGAAGAGTTGCATGTTCCGCCAGGGCTTCAGAGTGGGTGGGGGAGGCAGAGGCGGATAAAAAGATGGCTTAGACAAATGAACTCAGCATAGGTGTTGGGGCACCACTGAAGAATTTCAAGGGAAGCGATGCAATCCGATTTGCATGTTACAAAGCCCACTTGATGGAAGTGGTTTGGAAGATGCCTTAAAATGAAATGGGACCCGGAAGCACAAAGACCAGTGAGAAGGCTTGTGCAGTAGTGAGGTTTAGAGAAGCTGGCCTTTAACTATGATGGCAGTTAAAGAGAATAAAGAAGGGGTGGTGGAGGGGAGAGCCATTTAAGAGGTGGAAGCCACAATACTTGGTGATTAATAGGATGTGGGGTTAAGGAGGGAACCTTAGATTTTTGTGTGATGACAGGTTTCCCCTGCTATCAGAAAGTAGAGCATTCCTGTGAAATCTTTCGTAAGTCTAAATGTTGCACCAAGCCAAGAAACAGTGACCATTTCTTTATATGGAAAAATCTTGGAGCATTCCCAAATCCAGAAAATAACCGCTCCTAGGCTTTTCTGATACTTTGGGACACGTCTTGCTCACGGATGCTGAGATGCTGACTGTAGTCTCAGGGAAGGAGTTTGGCAATGCCCTTCTTGGGGCTCATGGTGTGCACCGCCTCTACAGCGGGCTGGCTGCAAAACCAATGCTGAACGCTGTTTGGCTTTTTACCTCTTTTTTTGTAAAAGCAAAAATCCTCTTCAGGTTTTTTTTGTTTTTTTTGTTTTTTTTTTTTGGTTAGTGAAAATAGGCCTTTTGTAAAAGTGAAGTGGTATAACACGAACTTTCAAAAAGTGGGGGGATACATGTGTCGGGTTCCTGTTTGGGGAGTTTAGTGAATGATGGTACCATTCGCAGAGATAGGGGATATAAAAAGGAGAAGAAGTTTAAAGACAAAGATATTATTTCATTTTGGAACTTACTGGGCCATCCAAGTGGAGAACTAGTATGCATAACATGGGGGCTGGGGTTAAAGATTGGGAGCCCATGTGGAAGAGATTGTAGAAGCTGTGGGTTCTTTGATCATTACTTCTCTTAGATGATTGTACTTAATTAGAAATTGATTGTAGGATAAACCTTTAAAAAAAAAAAAAAACTAAGCAGAGGCCAAGATGCACAATTCAGAATTCTTTAGACAGCATTCTTAAAGATGAAGGGTCAAAGAAATTTCTATAATATATATAAGTGGGATAATAGTCATTCTTGTCTTTAAGCAAATGATTGAAGGTTGAGGTTCCAAGGAGCTTAACAAACTTAAACAGTTTGTCACCTGTTTTTCCTAATTAAGGCATAACATTTATATAGTTAAGTACATTGTGATTTTTTTTTTTAAAACATAGGTATGCACTCTTGTAACCCAACCAGATCATCTCTAGCTCCTCATAAATTTCCCTCTGCAATCCTGTTTTTATTTCTAGAGTTTTTAACGTCCTAAATGTAACCTTAGGATGGGAGAATCCTCCCTCTCCTTGGCTAAGTCCAGTATGTTGCAGAGTCAGGAATTTCCTAAGAATCAAGTCAGAACCTGGTTTGAATTTTACAGTATGCACAGTGCGTGTCTTTAATTACTCTTGCCTATGCCTCCTCCTGTTTTTAATGGAAATTATGAACACCTCTTGATTTTCCTGTCCTTTCTGAAACTTAGCCTCTAAACTCTGTCCTGTCTTCTCTAGTATTCTTGGGAAATAGAGACTGTGGAGAAGATGACAGAATTGGAAAACCTTTTGTTTTCTTTGGGTTTCATCGTGGTGTATGTTGTCTGTCTTCCAGATTATTAGGTTTTGTAAGAAATAGACTGTATTTTTCTGAGTTGGGAATAGCCCTGTCTGTTTCCTTGAGTACATCTGTTTGATTTTTTAAAATTATGCCTTTCAGGGGGAGTTTTCATGGGACTAATAGTCCCCTTTGTGGAGGTAGCTCTATCTCGGTCACTGATCTTCCAGGTCAATAAGCCATCTGGAATGGTAAAATGCTTTCTTTTTTTTTCACTTTGAAATTTGTATTGAGAAGAAAACCATAGGGAGGAAAGAAACATAGTTAAAAGAATAATTACAAAACAAACACCTAGTTACCTACTACATAGGCCAAGAAATAGAATATAACCACACCCCAGGATCCTCCACATGCCCCTTCCTTATTGAATCCCCTCTCTCCCTTCCTAAGACAATCTCTAGCCTAAATTTGGTATGTCATTCCTTTTTTAAAAATAGTTTTTAAAAACTGTGTATATACATACATGTCTATATACTCGTACGTACATACAGTTTTAAAATGTTATATTTGAACCTTATATAATGGAATTATACTGTGTGTGTATTCTTTTGTGATTTGCTTTTTCACCCAATACTGTGTTTTTATAACACATCTAGGTTGCAGTGTGTAGCTATAGTCAGTCATTTTTATATAGAATAGTGTTTATTCTGTTGTCTGGAAACACCATAGTGTGTATATTTATTTTACTGTTGATGGATATTTGTTCTGGGGTTTTTTTTTTTCTGTTAAAAATAATACTATTAAAATTAAAAATACTAAAAAAATACTATTTTATATGTGTGTAAAAGTTTCTCTAGAATATTTATCCAGAAGTGCGACCACTAGTTTGTACAGTAAATACATAGTCAAGCGTACCAGATAGTGGCAAACTTTTGAAAAGTAGTTGTATCAATTTTCCTTCCCACCAGGAGTGGATGAGTGTTGCTATTGCTCTGTGCCCTTGCCAACACTTGGTATTGCCCAGCTTTAAAAACAAATTTTTTAATGTTTTATTTATTTTTGAGAGAGAGAGACAGAGACAGAGAGCAAGCAAGGGAAGGGCAGAGAGAGGGAGACTCAGAATCTGAAGCAGGCTCCAGGCTCCGAGCTATTAGCACAGAGCCGGACTTGGGGCTCGAACCCACGAACTGCAACATCATGACCTGAACCAGAGTTGGTAGCTTGACCGACTGAGCCACCCAGGTGTCCCAGTATTGCCCAACTTTTGAATTTTAGCCAACCTGGTAGCGGCAAAATTAATTTGCAGTAATTTGCATTTTCCTGGTTGACATGAAACTGAGTATCTTTTCATTTGTGCATGTTCTTCAGTAAAATTCCTACTCAGTTATTTTGTAAATCTTTCAGGTATGTTGTCTTTTTTTTTTTAATTGATTCCTAGCAATTCTTTATTATATTCTGGATGTTAACTTTTGTTACAGTTATGTAAGTTGCAAGTCAACAGTGTTTCCTTTTCTGTTCTGCAAATCTAGGCACCTAAGGAGAGATGCCTTGAGCAAATTTGGCAGTTGAAAGCCACTGGACTAGGCTCCTGTGCCAGACAGTATAGCACAGGGGCCATGTGGTTCTGCACGGGGCAGTCCCTGGAACTTTAAGTGAGTTGCATCTTAGTTACTGACTACTTCTGACCTGTGGTGCTTGCCTTTGCAGGTGGAACAGGAGGATTTTGTTATGGAAGGGCATGGCAAGACTCCACCTCCTGGTGAAGAAAGCAAACAGTGAGTCACAGTTTATTTAAAAAGGGTCCTATTACAGATCTTCAGAAGCACTTTGGTTAAACACGCTGAGAGCGTGTTTGCAGAGGATGTATATGTTGGGTACATTGTGGAGCTCACCAGTTGCTTTGGTGGATATTAATGCATAGTTTCTATTTATAGACAGACTAACTGGAGGGACAAGAAAGTTGGCTTTGTAGATTTTCACACTTGACTAATCAAAATTTGTGTTACACTTTAGCAAAGGCTTTAAGGCTCAGGATGTTCCAAATTGAACTAATTCAGTCTGGTTGATTTCCAAAGAAAGTTTAAGATGGTATATTCTTTTCTTAGCTATGTCCTTAGGAAGTACGCTAAATTAATAGACTGTCTTCCCTGCATTCCAAGTGTGAATTTATTTGAAATGTACTTCCTGAAATTCTATTCTATTTAGTTATTTATACTTCTGTTCTTTGTTTAAATAACAAATTGTTTCCCGAAAGGAACAGGAATATAAATAATATAACTTAGCCAACATTCTAAATTATTCAAGATCTCTCCCCTGACTTCTTAAAGAGTGATCAGTTTTAAATCTGAAATTGGGAGTCCTCGGGTAGCTTTTTGGTGACTGGGAATAGATTTTTTTTTTCCTCCCTCTGCCACAGAACTTGAAAAATTGTGTTGCAGAGAAGACTGGTGTTTCATTTGCCCTTTTAAAGGAAAAACAGTTAAGACTGCCTTGAAATACTGACATGACTACTATTTTTTATTCAGACAGTAGTCTCCTAAGTTGAATGGGATAGCAAGTGATTCATGGAATTTACCGAAAATCCATAGGGAGAAACTCCTCTCTCATCTTTTTTTTTTCCTTCCTAGAAAATAGTTTAGTTTTGATCTGTCTTATGAAAAGTATGTCTCCGAAACCCTTAGGAATGAATTATGCAGAATATATTATGCTGCCATGAGGCCAGGTTCATTAAAGGAGAATGTTTGTCTTGTATTTGTTGTGAATGGAAACCAGGATATTTTCACAGCTGGTTTAATTTGCTAACCAGGCAGTTTTAAAAATAGCTTACAATATAAATCCTAACTTTGCTGTGTTCTGTGAAATGCACTTATATTCTACATGGGCTCATGGAATCAGTTCATCTTTAGCAAAGTAGAATGCCAAACATCTAGTCCCAGTGAAATCACAGGAACATTTCAGATGCATCTCCCTGTCCTCTTGCCCACTCCCCCAGCCCCACCCTCTGGTCAGAGGTCTTACAATGTAAAAATCATAGTTCCTATTTGATGAGGGTGTTCTGTGTGCAAAGCACTTTGCTTAGATGCTGTGTATGTTCTCTCCATTCATTATAGTGTACCCTTTTACTCGGAGATCACGGTAGGTAACTTATCCATGGGAATGCAGCTTGAAATGGAAGTTAGGATTTGAATCTGGATCTTTCTGACATTACAGTGTTTTATAATATCTCCCTGACCCAAATCCTCTGCCAGCCTTGGGAGCTGTGTTCCTGAAAAGTACCGTGGTTAGCAAAACTGTGCAGTTGTTAAGATCAAAGTCTCAGGGATAAGAGGGAGTTGGGGGAAATAATGAAAATGGCATTAAGCCTATTTTTGAAACACAGATGAAGGTTCTGTTCTCTAGAGGGTATCCATTTCCCAAACAAACCAGTCTTTATCTTTAAAAACCTGCTCCAGTAGCCCCTATCCTGTATCAACTTCTTTACGTATTCAGGAAGCACTGCTGGGGCAGATTCTCCCACAAGTTTTATGTTATACAAACGGTGCTTCTTTTTAGAGAGCTTCAGACAGGCTGGTGGACTTGCGTTGTGTCCTTACCTTGTTTTGTTTTCTGAGTCTCATGGTGCCTTTTCACAGATGAATCCTGTTGTGTTTTGCTTCTGGTTTTTTTGTTTGTTTGTTTTGTTTTGTTTATTTTTTTCCTGGTCCTGGTCTGCTGTCCTATATTGTAATGACTCTTCTCACTAGGCACTCCTCTCATAGACCTGTCTACCTCTTTGGTGGGAGTGGGTAGCAAAGGTGATGTGTTCATTTGTTTGAGGCAACAAAATTTAAAAGATATACATATGTATACACACACACACACACACACACACACACACACACACACACACACACATTGCATCTTAGAAGTGTAGTTGGCAGAGGATGATAAACTCCTGGACAGTAGGATCAAGGAACTGAATACTACGTTCTAGATCCTGGAAGTGTACACATTGCTGAATGACTTATGAAATTCCGACTTATTCTTTTATTTTTTAAATTATAAAAATAATACAGTTGGCTCTTGAACAACATGGGTTTGAAATGTGCAAGTCCATTTATACATGGAATTTTTTTAAGTTTATTTATTTTTAGTAATCTCTACGCCCAGCATGGGGCTTGACCCCAAGATCAAGAGCCACACGCTCCAAAACTGAGCCAGACAAATATGGTACCATGCTGTAAATGTACTTTCTCTTCCTTATGATTTTAAAACATTTTCTTCACTAAATTCCTGAAACCAGTATTACACTAAATCTTAACTAACTAGAATTTAAATAAAAACTGGAAACAAAAATAAAATAAAACATGTTCTTTTCTCTAGCCTACTTCATTGTAAGAAACCAGCATAGAATACATGTAACAGAAAAAATAGGTGTTAATTGACTGTTTATGTTATCAGTAAAGCTTCCAATCAACAGACTATTTGTAGTTATGTTTTGGGGGGTTAGAAATTATTCACAGATTTTCAGCCATGCTGGGGAGTCAGTGCCCCAAACCTCCATGTTGTTCAAGGGGCACCTGTACACGATTGTCATGAAACATTCAAATGGTAAATGTAGACACAGAAATAAAACTGAGACTCTCCTTTTACCTTTCTTCCCCTCCTGATCTTTGTAAATATTTTCTGTATATTTTATTTATTTATTTATCCATTTGTTTATTTGTTTGTTTATTTACTTTGAGAGAGACAGTGCAAGTGGGGGAGGGGCAGAGAGAGAGGAAGAATCCAAAGCAGGCTCTGCACTGTCAGCGTAGAGCCTGATGTGGGGCCCAAACTCACAAAACTACAAGATAATGACCTGAGCCAAAATCAAGAGTTGGATGCTTAACTGACTGAGCCCCCCAGGTGCCCCTGTTTTCTGTATATTTTATTTATTTATTTATTTTTTAATTTTTTTTTCACCGTTTATTTATTTTTGGGACAGAGAGAGACAGAGCATGAACAGGGGAGGGGCAGAGAGAGAGAGGGAGACACAGAATCGGAAACAGGCTCCAGGCTCTGAGCCATCAGCCCAGAGCCCGACGCAGGGCTCGAACTCCCGGACCGCGAGATCGTGACTTGGCTGAAGTCGGACGCTTAACCGACTGCGCCACCCAGGCGCCCCTTTCTGTATATTTTAAAACAACAACTAAATAGGGATTTATTTTTTCCCCAACATAATTCTTCTGTGACTTGCTTTTATAATTTGCCATCTTTCACAGTCTACTTCATGCTCTTAATGCAGAATGTTCTGTTGAATGGATGGACTATAATCATTCTTCTCTAATTAGATGATTTGGTGGTCTCTAGTTTGATTACTACAAATAATACTTTATTGAACATCTTTATTTTTATATCTTTATTCACAGATGTATTTCTGTAGAATAAATTTCTAGAGATGGAGCTGTTGGTTCACGGGATGTATTTTTAAAAATATTTTTAAATATATTTAAAAAAATTTTAATGTTTATTTATATTTGAGAGAGAGAACCAGTGGGAGAGGGGCAGAGGGAGACAGAAACAGAATCCAAAGGAGGCTCCAGGCTCTGAGCTGTCAGCACAGAGCCCGACGCGGGGCTGGAACTCACAAGCCATGAGATCATGACCTGAGCTGAAGTTGGACGCCCAACCAACTGAGCCACCCAGGCGCCCCCACGGGATGTACTTTTTTTACATGGAGGTAGTTGCTATCAAATTGCCTTCTGAGAAAGCACCACCTATGATCCTTTCCATCAACGGTGCATGAGAATGTCCATTTCTTCTCCCCTTTGATGACAAAAAAATTTTTAGCCTTAAATTTTTGTCACTCTTGTATTTTATTATATATATGTATATATGTATATATATATATTTTTTTCAAGTAATCTCTACACCTAACGTGGGGCTTGAACTCACAACCCTGAGATCATGAGTCGCATAATCCACTGACCGGGCCAGCCAGGCACCCCTAATATTTAATTGTTTTAATTTGTACTTTTCTGCTCACTAATGAGATGGAATATCTTTTGTTAGTTTATCGGCTGTAGATTTTTCAATTTTATGTATCACTTATTTGCATATTAGACCCATGTTTCTATTGGATTATTTGTTTTGATAGTTTTGTAGGAACCCTTTATATATTTTTAAATTATTATTATTATTATTATTATTAATTTTAGAGAAATAAAGTACAAGCAAGGGAGAAGAAGAGATGGAGAGAGAGAGGGAGAGAGAGAGAGAATCTTAAGTGGGCTCCACTCTCAGTGCAGAGCCTGATGTGGGGTCAGTCCCACAATCCTGGGATCATGACCTGAGCCAAAATCAAGAGTCACATACTCAACCAACTGAGCCACCCCAGCACCCCTGTAGGAGTCTTTTATAAAATATAGATATTAACTTTGTCTTCTGAGGTGTTTTAAATGTTTTGTCCCATTCCTTTTAACATTGGGGTATTTTTCATATGAATAAATTTAAAAACATTTTTATGTGGTAAAATCAATTAGCCTGTTATAGCTTCTGTATTTTGTGTTTGCTTAGAGAAGTTGTCCCTACCCTAATGTAATAAATAAAATACCTTAGTTTTCCTGCTTTTTTCCTTTTTACCCCTACACCTTTAATTGAACTGGTATGCATTTTTGTGTATGATGTGAGGCAGAGATCTAAGTTAATTTTTTTCCAAATTGATTTCCAAAATGGCTCTCATTCATTGGTCTCAGTTTGTATGAATAGCCTATTTCACTTATGGAAGGCAGATGAAACACAGGGATAATATGAC